AACAACCGTTCATGCAGTTAACCTAATTCAAGTTTTGTGCAAAAACGCATGATCGCACCGGCTCGTCTGGTGCGTTCCAGCCTGGGTTTTTGTAGTGCTTTGTTTCCTCTTTCTCGTTACAGCTCTCTCTATTTTTGTCTCAAGCTCCTCACTTGTATCCTCATTTCCTTTCTTTGCTCTGTCCCCAACCTCCGCCTGTAAAGCAACATTGAACTCCTCTCCATTCCCACTATAAGAACACTCCGAAAGCAAGCAGTACTTCAACTCTTTCTCTACCCTGAGTATGTACGGCAAAAAACCAGGAGCACACTTCCTCCTCCTTTCCACCTGTAACATTCCTCTCCCCTCCCCCTCCTACGCCTTTTAGCCAGCCATCAAAGGATCCATGCTGCGTGGCCACTCAACCCATGCACCCAATCCCTCTCCCCTGCTTTGGACTCACCATGTACCCCCGCCCTCGCCTTCTTCCCAGTCTGCCCTCATACCTACCCTGCCTCTGCCATCTACCACCGAGCATCACGGTGGGGTAAGGATACCCGTCACTAGCTGAAAAAATTTTCCGCAAATCGTGTATGGCGCCGGCCGAACCAACCGGAACTATAGCAATTGCCCTAACTTATCCTCAACATCAGGTTTCTTGGTGAGCATCATAAATCCAAATTTCTCTACAGTCCATTCTCTTTGTCCGCATTCCTTATTTTCTGGGAGGGTCCCAGCTGATTGTCCCTTTCTGTCACAGAAGCAAAGCTTAAATACTGCCACATGTGAGGTTTCAGGGTCCCAGATGCTTGTCACTTTCTGTCACAGTAGCGAAGCTTAAATACAGTTTTATTCCGTTTCAGTTTTATTCCTCACTTTCGATTCCTTGAATTTTTACGAAAATTAATTTGTGGCAGTTCTGACTTGGGTGCCTTGAAACGTAGGCCTGAGAAGGAGGAGGTAGAATGACTCTAAGTTCTCCTTTCCAGTTACTTTCCCCGCTCGGTGCCCGTAAATGGGCCGCGATTTCCCGTTCCCATCAAACATACAGCGGCACCTATGCTTACCTGCACCACTAGCATTTTTCTGCCCCTGAAACGCTTCTAATCGGCACTTTTTATTCGTTTTGTGCTGCGTAACAGCAGTACAAAACGCATATTGTCACGGGTTTGTCTGTGTGTGTGTTTGTGTGTGTGTGTGTGTTTGTGTCCGCAGCAACTTGTCCGCAACTTTCAACTCGGGAACCACAAAAGCTAGGAAGCTGGAAATTTAGGGTAACGTTTCGTCCGCAGCAACTTGTCCGCAACTTTCAACTCAGGAACCACAAAAGCTAGGAAGCTGAAAATTTAGGAGGACGTTCCCCTCCCACGTTTGACCCCGCATATTTAAATTCGGCTGCCCCCTACCCGCGGGTAACGCGTACGGCCTCGTGAAAGTTTTTTACGGGTAAGTTAATATCTCGGGAACCGCGGAGTCTAGGAGGCTGAAATTTCAGGGTAATGACTCCCTGCCCCCGCTCAACCTTGCTTGTTCAAATTTAGCGTTCTCGCGCTCTCGGTACCACCTATGGCCTCGTGAAAATTTTGGCAGGTTAACTATTAACTCGGGAACCACAATATTCATCCTTCAAGGTTTCGAATTCAGCTTTCATACGTTGGTGCGTGAAATTTTTAACTGTTTTCCAATGTTTGAACTGTTTTTGCATAGACTAAAGTACAAAGCAGTGAGAATCATTAATAGGCAATCGTTCGATGGGCTGAATTGCACAAAACGCATGATCGCACCGAATAGTTTGGTGCGCGTTGCTATTTATTTGTCTTTTCACGTGCATCACTCGTCGCTATCCCTCAAATCTGCGTTTACTGTAACAGACTAATACAGTTCGGGCATAATAGTTGTGTTGAGTTGCAGTGGTGGTTGTTGTGGATGGGCACGCGATTGTCGGTATCGTTCGAGGACAAGGAGGTGCTGCCGCGCACCGATCGGCCGCCGACGTTCGACCCACTCTACGGTTTCCCGAAGGGTCGAAAGCCGCGTGAGATGAAAGCAAGCTGGGAAGAGATGGATCGCTGGAAGCTCGAGCTCGGCGACCGCGACTACTGCGCTCATCTGCTTATCGCTCTCAAAAAATGCCAGGTTTTTTTTGGTGCTTTTATCAGATTTTTTCTGTGCGAACAGGAACAAGCCAGGCGCATGCCGATATTCATCAACCACATTTTTTGTGCTTTTATGGTTTATTAAAGAATGCACATATATATGCCGGCAGGCATGGCGCTGGGGGGTAGCACTGTTGTCGTGCAGTAAGTCATAGGCGGATCCAGAGGAGGGGGGATGATGAGCCTTTCGCCCCCTCCTCTCTTGCCCTGCGCCACAGGTGGCAGCACTAAAATTGAAGGAAACTTTCTTCCGTACTCCCCGTCCCCCCAGAAGCCTCACTCCCCTCCTCCCAGTCGTTGCCACACTATTGGGCCCACTTCCTCCCCTTCTTCCCCGCCGCCTTCCGGTGGCCGCTAGTAGAAGCCGCACATCCTTCTCCCGAAGGAGCCGGTCCTGGATCCGCCTATGCCGAGGGTTTGACTGTGCCGGTAGGGCAGTCAATACCTCTAGGATACATTTCGATGGTAAACTGGTACCTGGTGTATGCCGGGAAGTCAAACGCGCTATCAGCTTGCCTGTAAGCAACCCTCAGCCATTCGCAGCTTTATCAGTGGTGTTTGATGTTAGCATTTGCTACACTCCGGCTACTTCTCCAGTGCTTCCGTTTCTTACCGACAGCGAATTACGGAGAGGGTTTTGACTTTTGACACGTAAATATACAAAAATGAGCGCTAGAGCATGTCTGTGTGCATGTGTATCTTTACGACCAGAAATATGAGGAGGATGAAATTCTGGAGCCATAAGCCCGGTCCTTTTCGAATCTGATAAGCCAACTGTAGCATCCAGGTTGACCTTGGATGCCAAAGTATCGAAGGCGTGTTGAATACAGAAGGCAGGAAGGAATGAGGAAAGAAGGTAAAAATGAGATAAAACATTTCAGTCCATTAAGTCATATTCGTCTTAACACTGTGACAGGACCCCGTTAGTATGACGGTGGCAGCGTTTAATAAATAGCAACGCGCGCCAGACTAGCCGGTGCGATCATGCGTTTTGTGCAATTCAGCCCATCG